GGATTTATAGTGATTCGACTTCTCAACCAAGTCTACATCCACTACCTAAGCTCCTCACTTAGGATTTTCTAACAAATCCACTAATTTGTTCTTTATTTTTCTAGGACAAAGAAATAACATTTACAAATCCATAGCGGTTAAGCTATATCCAATCCCCTTTACAAAAGGAATAAAAGATGTGAACAATAAAACCTCTTAAAGGAAGGTGTTTACAAACAATTAAGCTCACTAAAACACTAATATTTACAATATAAAAGAAAATAAGAATGAAAAGTTATTATCTTGTGTTATATTGCTTGGATAGGTGTTGTCAAACTTTCTTCAAGTGACCTCAATTTGTTTTATATGTTGGAATGAGTTTGTGGTCGTTTATAATTGTTGGGGATTAACTTTCTGTAAAATAAAACTGCACAGAACAGGGAGTATCGATACTGCCTTTGTAATAATTAAATAAACTAGTTGTTGAAGACAGTTGGGCTTGACCAGTATCGATACTACTCTTCATGGTATCGATACCACTGTGTAAAGTATTATTGATACATATTTTGCATTATGGAATTTGAGCAATTTGAAAAACATGGTAGTATCGATATTACCTAGAGAGTATCAATACTTCTCTTACCTTTGGTATCGGTACCACATGAACAGTATTGATGTTGTTCATGTAGTACCGATACTGTAAGAACAGTATCGGTACTACGTATCCAGAAGATTCTTTTGTGCTCAAATTATAGTTTAATGAACTTTGAGTTATTTTTGAAAACTTTGAACAAATTCAATCAATTCCAAAATCATTTTGTCTTAAATTTTTATATCAAAATATTATAAGACATAGTTAAACAAATTGTAATAATATCTTTGTATGTATATATTTATTTAATTAGGTCTCTATTTTATCAATAAAATTAATATTTTTTTATAAATATATTTATTTCCGATCGAGTTTAGATTTTATCTCAAAAGGTAGATCAGGTTTCAGGTCGGGTCATGTTTTGGATGGAGGAGTTATTTTTTTTGGGTCGAGTCGATTTGACCAAAAACTCAACCCATGCCCATCCCTATCCACACTTGATTCGACTCCACAAAAGTATATATAAAATTTTTTTCATTTTATTCGATAAAAACATACCTAATTGAGAAAATATAAAAGGTTGACTTTATTACAATTATCCATAAATATATAAATAACGAGAAAACTAAACTAGGACAAGTGGGGCCATGGCCCCCCAAAATTTTAAAGCATTCAATTTTAGACCTTTAAAATTTTCAAAAATATAATTTGCCCCCATAATTTTTATAAATTTTTAGTAAGCTTTGAAATTTTTTAATGTTCTAAGCTAAACTCCCCTCATAATTTTTAAAAACTCTCACTTAGACTCTCAATTTTTTAAAATTTTCAATTAGACCTTTTAAAAAAAAACATGTAAATTTAACTCTTCAAAATTTTTGAAAATTATAATTTAAACTTTTAAATTTTTTAATGTTTTAAGATGTTTCCAAACTATATTACCAAGTTCACACTGCATATAATGGATAATTATACTATTATCTCATGTTAGATCGAATCAATAATTTTTACTCTAAATTTGAATTCAATCTTATTTTTATAATAACTTAAACAGATCCAAACTCGATTTCTTAATAAAATTCTTGATGTTATAAAACCATATTAGATTAATAGTTTATTACTACGTCATGGGTATCGGAGTTTTTATATAAAAAAAAAGTCATTTAAATTTTGAATTTAAAATTTAATATTGGTCATATTTTTATTTCAACAGAAAGTCATTTAATGCGTCACTATATACATACTAATATATATATATATATATATATTACTTTTCTCCCCTAATAATGATAACCCACGGTGTAATGATTTGATCAATCTAGTGGGGTAATTAGCCTTCATTAATTATGGATTAGAGTTTTTTGAGGTTTTGCATTACCGCATAACGACAAAACCAATAAAGACAAACTACTTGTTGAACATGTTTGGTTTTATTATTTCGTTTGAAATTTTGGTAAAATCTTAAATTTAAATTATTGTGTTTTACTAAATCAAACTTACATTTAATTCAATAATTACATGTATATCTGATATTACATAAAATGTCTAGTAAATAAATATTTGATTAAAATAATATTATATATTTTTTATCTGATTTTAAGTGGGTTCTATTTATATATTTAAACAACAGATGAGTTTTATAATAAATTTTGTATGATAAAATGTGTCGGTCCTTTGAAGATATCTCATAACAAGATATTTTTGTTGCTTTCAATGAAAATCATGAAAATTAAAATGTAAAAAAAATATAAATTAGAAAGGGATATCGTATGTCATTTTTAAGTTCTTTTATATTTTTAATATAAACATTAGAAATAAAATAAATATAATTTTGAAATAATATTATATATTAATTTCTAAATTTTATACCGTTATTTAAATTGCATGATTTTATTATATCCTTTACTTTTACCTAACAATTGACCAAATTCAATCATTCAATTAAAGATGAAAGGCTTAAAAGAAATAAAAGAAAAACAAGGGTACGTTTGTCCAAAAGTAGGGTCACTCGATACTGCTCACCACTTATCTCTATGGTGCCAATATATATATATATATATATAATATCTTTAAGATTGGTATAATTCAGATTTGATGAATTTTGATTTGATTATATATTTTTGATTATTTTTTATTAAAAAATTTAAGTAAGAGTAAAGTGAGATTTTTTGTATGATAAGATCAAGATCGATCGATTTTATATTTAACGTAAAAAATATTTGACTTGATTTGACTTAAATTTATATTGTAATAATATCGGTGGTAAATAAATTATTGTTATTCTTTGAGGTCTCGAGTTCGAGTATCATGAATTTTAGATGTGTTAGCATTTAATATCAAATAATTTAGAATTATATTTAAATAAATATTAACTTTTACTTACTTTAAATTAATAAAAAACTTTAATTATAAATTTAATTTAAATGGATTCTATTGCAAATACGATGAGAGTTTGTAAAATGGGAAAGTAAAGGAAGGATGATTCTTCTTAGTTAGAGGGATGTGTAAGGAAAGACAATCTAATATAAGATTAATAAAAGATATACTGAAAATGTTAATATGTCTTTTAAATATTTTTGGTATAACGCTATCTAAAATGTTATTTTTTTATTAGAAATGTTAATATCAAAAATATTCATTTTAGATAACAAAATTAATATTTCGATAAAAAATAATATTTTAATTAGTATTTTATCAAAAATATTAATATTAAAAAAATGACTGTCTCTTTTTTTCTATATGTATGAGATAAGAGGGAGGTAAAATAGTAAACTGTCCCTAACATCATATTGAGGACACTTCCATAGGAGACTTAGGGATGAGCAACGAAACCGAGAAAATCGAAAAATCGACACGAACATAGTAAAACGGTTCGGTTCGGTTCAGTTTGACTTTAAACAGTTCTGTTTAAAGGCTTCAATTTTTTGATTCGGTTCGGTTCGGGTTTTCCATATGGAACCCATTTGTTCCATATTGAACCGAATATGTAATTTTTGTAAAAAAATTTATAGTTTCAAGTGATTTTTTTATTTGAAAAACTAAAAAATTGAACCGAATCGAATTGAAAAATCCGAACCGTAAAAAAACCGAACTGATAAAACCGATTTCGATTTTTTCGGTTTTTTAACTATTCGATTTCAGTTTAGATTTAAATATTAAAAAATCGTTTATTTCGGTTCGATTCAATTTTTAATAAAAAACCGAATCGAACCGAATACATCCATAAGGAGACCTAGTGTACATTGGTTGGAGCCAATGAACAGAAAAGCTGGGTTGCACACTTCCACTTGCTGACCACAACACCTGGAAATTGGTAATCTCCTGTTTCTTCTTTCTCTCACAAATCTTAATCATTAATGCAGGGACATTCATGCCACAGCTTTTACTGAAAATCAAAGTAAAGTAAAAAGCATAAAAAGTTGTTTCATAATTTTTCAAGACAAACACACGCAGTAAAAACACTGTTTCATCTCTTTCACTCTACTCTTACTACTACACAAACACTTTTCTGTCGCCTTTTTCACCCCAAAGGGGGGGGGGAGAAAGGACCAATTCAGTTAATTCATAATATTTTTTTAAAATTAAAAATGTGATAGGTTTTTTTTATTCCTGTTTTGAATTTACAAATATTTTCATTTGATTTTGATTCAGTAATTAATAATATTTCGTTTATATCAAATCTATTTTAAATTTTAAAATTAAATTTTATGCCATCTTAAATTTATTTTAAATACTGAGATAGGAAAAAGTTCGTCTCATCCCGATATGACATATATTTTTATTCAACAAGATAAAGAGTTACTTATATATATATTATAGTAATTAGGGACATTATAATAATTATATGAATCTAGTCATACCGATAGTAAGAAGTGAGCTAGAATCAAACACTATAATATAACAATAAAAGAATAAAGATATATTAAGTATTTAAACTTAAAAATTGGGAAAATTAAATATTTTATTTTATTAATATTTAAATAAAAAAATCAAATATTATTATTATGTAAAAAAATTTAGAAAAACATCAGCCACTTACACTTCCTAAATGGTTTAATCCCTGTCGATGTTTTTTTTATCATAAATCCAAATTCCTCCTCCATAAAACATGTCTTGAAATGAGTTTAAAAACAATATGATCCTATAAGATTAAGTTAATGAACACGTGTCCAATTTAAATATTTTGATACCCCTATCTTAAACTAACTAATTTAAACTTGGAATATAGAAATTACAAAGGGAATGAAATGGAAAAACAAATGATGAAATGAAATTAATATAGCAAAAACCAGCGAAGAACAGCGTTAATATTGTCTGCCTCTTACTCTCTTTCTCAAACCCTAAAATTAACCCATATTTTAATCACACCAAAAATTAATTAATTTCATTTTTCTTTTGATCAGTATACTAAAGACTCGATCTTTGTTTTTTTTTTAAAAAAAAAAGCAATCAAACCTCACGTGTGTTGCACATCAAACTACACATCTGATCGAATGAAGCAAAGATGATGACCAGTTGTATATCATTTTGTTATTCATCGCCGCCGCCATCTCCACCGTTTTGTGAATGTGAGCCGCTCACTTGAGATTCCGATACGCCGGTACCGCCAGAGACTTGCCTATAAGGGTTCAATCCGGCTAACATATTTAAATGTCCTTCAGAACTCATGCCACTACTTCCACCACTTCCGCCTCCGCCACTACTGCACGAACCCAATTGTTGGCCCGGCAACAAGGCCATTGGAGCTGGGAAATTCATGAAATGCAAACCACTGTTGTTCACCGAAGGAAATGACCATATCGGGTCACCACCACTCATGACTTGATTACTAGTATTGGTTAACATCCAAAAGTTCGCCGGAACCTGTTCGTGGCTCGCCGGAACCGCCCCAGTGCTCGACTGCAACAAGTAACTCCCCATTTGATGTTGCGAAGATAAATCTTGTTCGGGTCGTCTTTTCCTTCCTATACTACCTTCTTCGGCTTCGAATATTTCCAAGGAAGACTCTTGCTTGGCCGGAAACATTGGATTCAAACTACTACTTGATTGTAAATTAAGGAACGTCGTAGTCGGCGTCGTTTCGAGTCCGATTCCGGGGAATAAACTCCGACGTTGTTGCATCGAGAAGTTGGAGCTGAAACCCGAGGAACGAAGCTGAGAAGGGATCGACATACTAGAACCGGAGCTACGAAGCGAGATATTGAGCGAAGTGAAATTTGCAGGGATGGTTCCAGTACCCGTGGCAGCGATCACGGCTGGTTCGGCTTGTTGGAGCAGCCACTCGATCGTTTCGCCCTCGGATTTGTGGCCGAGCTCACGAGTGAGTTGGAAAACCCTAGCTGCACAAAGAGCCGGCATGCGGATCCTACGACCACGTCCATCTACCTTGGTGTGACGGTCTTTGGTTGAAGTACGCTTAGGGGGTGGGATTTTGGAAGGCTCCGCCGAGATCTGGTGGCTGGAAGCAGAACTAGTGGCGGTGGTGGGTTGTTTGGCTGAGCAAGAGGTGGGAATTGGGAGGGAAGGGAAAGGAAGAGTGGTGGAAGAGGAGGAAATAGGATGGTTATCCTCTTCTTTTTTCTCTAGTAATTGGAATGGGAAAGTAGAACGGTGGTGGTGGAGTTGATGGCGGTGGTGGTCATCGCTGCCTCCTCCTTCCATGCTAGCATGAAAGTAATAGGTTGTTTCTCTAACGGTGATGAATGAATGGAGGTGTAAGTCTTTAGATCGAACCTTTTACTTTGTAGGTTATACTAAATGTTCAAATGAGTCTTTTTGGTGGGGTTTTTTTACTTTAATTAAAAAAAATCTTTTCATCGCCAATTAATTTTATTTAAAAATTTAATATTTAATTCAACTAATCTTTTTATTTTAAAATATTTAAATTCGGATATATTTAAAAATATAAAATTCATTTATTTACTAGTAAACAGAATATAAATAATTTAAAAAACATATGAAATATATTTTTGATGAATTTGTTTAGAAAATAAAATAAAATAAAATGAGAAGAGAAGAGAAGAGAAGAGGCAAGCTTTAAGGAACACAGATCATGAGTGGGAATTATGTGGGTTACCTTTAAAAACAATTCTTTCTTTTTTTATAATTTTGATATAAAAAATGGTTTTATTTATATATTTTAGAGAGAGAATATTTATAATTATATGGTTTTATTTGTATTAAATGAATGTCATCAATATAACCTTTTATTCTTTTACAAAAAAATATATAACCTTTTATTTATTTTAACGTTGATAATATTTAAATAATAATAAAAGTTTACTTAGATAAGAATGAATTATTTGGATGATAATTCAGACATTGAGGTAATTATTTTATGAAAATAGGAGAAATATTTTGATTGTGGAAGGAGAAGGACAGCAGCCCCTTTGGTTCAGAGTCCACATGAGGTGCTGTTTTTATCATTGAATCCATGAAGACAGTGGTGGGTCCCCCGTATATTTTGGTTAAAAAATAGTCGATATTATTATTAATGGAAACGAAAGATTATGAGATGGGGACCCATCTTCTTCATTCAAGCAATCATTTCATTCTGCCTTTCTTCTGCAACCTTTGGTTTGCTTTCCCTCCCTTTTATACATATACATACCCTTTTTCATTAGGGTTTTCGGACTTTTTGCTTATGTTTTCTAAACGATTTTCTTTCGATAATTCTTGGAGCTATCTTTTCTTTCTATTTTTTGATTTTCTAATTAATTTATATTAAATAAGTTATTTATTGTTAATATTTGTATGACGTGATAGTTAATAATATTAACATAATTATGTATTTAGTCATTATTATTTATACGTTGATAAATGACTTTATCGTAATTAAACTACGATTTATCTTTAATGATTAGGAGCATTTATTAATAAAAAAATCACTCTAAAATTTCAAAGCATGAATAAATTAATAAGATAAAAAAATAAACGTCAATAAAGAAAACAACATTTAATTCAATTAAAAAAAAGTGTTACAAAACCATATATCAGTTCCATATGAAAGAGGAAAATATTATCCGGATAAAGAAACAATATAACCCAAATATACAAAAATTATTGCGAAATTCAGAGAAAAAAATAAATTAAAAAAATTAGTCCCAAATATCCAATAGTTTTCATTTATCTAAATCACCCACGGTAAATTTCTTTTTTTGGTTTAATTCTAAAAATTCGATTAATTGATAGATTAGTTTCAATCAAGTATTATATAAATAATATTCTCATTTCAATTTACTTCACTCGCAATGTCAAGATTTAAAATCTTGAAAGATCTAATACTTCATTCCGTTCGATCAATTATTTTTTAACGAGTAGTAATGGTCAATAAATTATTTCATTCGTTTTGGATGAAATCGCCAAAATCCCTAAAATAAATTTGTAAGATCAAACCAATTTCTAAAATAGATCAATAATTTAATACAATTATCAATTGACATGTTATAATATAGTTGAGACTATATTACGCACAGGTGAATAAAGAAATAACACTTCTCTGTGATCTATCTATGGCTGAGATAAAAAGTTTTTGGATTAATGAGGAATTATGTTAAAAGGTGCCTGTAAAAAAATCACTTTCAGTGTACTTAATAATAATCCTTTCAATAATAAGATAACACAATATTTAATTTTAAAATTTGTAAACTGTAAACTTAATTTTGAATTTTTTGTCCCTAAACTTTATAAAAAAAATTCAACTTAATTCTCTTGAGCAACATTAATTCTTGAGGTTGATATTTTTTGCTAACTTGGTCTATAAATTTAAATTTCATCACATATTTCAGTCCTTAGATAGAATCCAAGAGAAAGGATCTAATTAACAAGTGTTTCCAAGTTTGAGACTAATATGGACAAAAATAAGTTAATAATCAAGTTAGAAAAAATTATCAAAATCAATAACTAAGTTTACTTTTATCCCTTAAAAATTAGTGGGCTATATCTAAAAATTTTATGTTTAAATATATTAAATTGATCTATTGTTTTCTAGAAGGACTAAAAACATAATTTTTATTTAATTAAGAACAACATAGTTAAGATGAATTATAATTTAAAATAGATTAGAAATGCAATTGTAACGTTAATCGGAGATTTTTTTGTCATTTTTAAATTAAAAATGCATTTTTAATAAAATTATCCGGTTTTTTTTCAAAGGGAAAAGAACTCCTTTCTAATAATTTTGTAATTTCAGAAGGGAAAAAAAGGTTAATTAATGAAAATAGTTGATAAAGGTGTATAGGTAGGAGAAGATGAATAAGTAATTAAGTGGCGCGTAAGTCGGGATTAATTAAACTAACAGTAAACATTAAGAAAATTTTATGACAATTGATTTGGCTTCACATGCCATATTTTAAGAAAATTATATTAAGAAAATATATATATAATTTTTTAAATATTATTACAAAATTTAATTTTTTTTATAATTTTTTTATTCAAGAATACAACTATTTTTTATTTTGTTCCCCCCACTTTGTCTTTAAATTTAATACTATAAAGTTAGGAAAATGAAAGTGATAAATACCCAAGTCCATGACCCTACCAAAAGGATACCCACTATCTTGGTTTCCCCCCAAAATTGCCAACGAGGGTATCTTTATTCATGACATGAAAAATAAATTTAATATTTTATGCATATCAGATTATTATATAACATTTATATAACCGAATATTTACAAATAATTCAAACACGTTAGAAACAAATAAAATATATCAAAATCAATATAAATTTCCAATAAAGAATATGAAAAAGTTAAAAAAAAATGAATGGATTTTGAAAATTTTCACCGACGGTTAATTTAAAATGATGAGAAAACCTCATTTAATTTCAACTCATGTATGATCATATTTCTCTTTTATTATTAAAAATAATTAACTATATACAAATAAAAATATATATACAATACAATTATAATTAAAAAATATAAAAACTAAATTATATTAATCACAACAATCAATCAAATTTTAAAAAATATATATAAATTAACCGTTAGATAATAAAAATAAAACCTTATACGAAAAATAATTTAAAAAAATTGACCAAACAATATGAAAATAAAATAAAATATATGAACAAATACCACTATAAACAATGAATTATAAGCACCATCGACACTAATGTAAGAGATATAACGATAACGATATGTCGACAAATAATTTTTCCAACTCAAACCATTCATATCTAAAATGATTACAAACGTTTATCAATACGAATGAACTGATCCAATAATCAAATCAAAGATAAATCAACAAAATATTTTAAATAAATGCTAACTAAAGACTTTAAACCCAACCGTGAAAAGAGAGAAACATATTGTTCTAGAGAAATTGTGGTAAAAGAGCAACCAAATATTCACTGTTTTCATGAAAAAGGAAAATATTTTTTTAAAAAATAGCGGAAATTTAAATTAAAAAATTAAATAAAACAAAAAAACTCAAATAAACCATTCGATTAATAAGTTATAAAATAATTTTCATAAAAAAATATATAAAAAAATGAATGTCCCTTGTTCCCATATGTAATGGGGTAAGTAGAAGGCAAGATAGTAGGCTGCTCCCAACACTAGGTTGAGAGCAGCTTCCGTAGGAGACCTCTGAATTATGAAAATAATAATAAAAAATATCATATGTTTTCAATATATTCATATGTAATCCAAATATCCAATCTTCTATTTTTGAAATTATATTTTTTCCTTCAATCGGATAAAATATTGATTACAGCCCAGTCAAAGCACATCCTCTCCCCCTTTCATAAACAGTGTGTCATTTCATAGATACCAACAAAGCCACTTACCATCACGTGAAATTCGTGAATCAATTTGCTGTTTTTATTTTTTTTATTCCTTTTATAATTTAAAAAAAAAATCTTAGATTAAAAAAACAAGAACAAGCTTCAAATTTAAAGCTATCTAAAAGTACAAATCTTTAACGAAACCATGTTTACCCTTTTAACACTTGCGGTGAGCTCTCATCGTCTCGTACTTTGAATGATTGTCTGAACCATGAACTGCTTATGTCGGCTAAATGCCAATAACCTTGTCTTCTCTGTATTCCTGTAACTCAATCACTATCACCATCTTCATCGTCCTCGTCGTCATCATCTTTTCCCTGTTAATGGTTAAAATAAGAAAGAAGCAACACCATGAATATAAAAATTAACAAATTAAGTTGTTGTCAACTGACGACAATCAACCTCATTCCCCTGGTTTTAGACTAATAAAGGACTTCTATTTACACTATGCCATTCTAAAAATCATTCCAGTTCAATAGATTAACTTCATGCAAAAGTCCCGCAAATATATTCTGTCGAGCATTTATAGCAAAAAAACAGCCAACTCTGACATACACACATAGAAACATTATGTATATCTCTTCAACACCATCACCATTACAGTCCTCTTCATCAGCCTCCTGAATCAAGGAAGTTATCAGAACAAACGACAATTAGAAACTGAACATGATCTCGACCAACAGGTTATAAACAAATCATGGAACTTTTTAGAAGAAAAGATATTACATTGTTGAAATAAGTAAGAGGACTGGGCCATAAATCCTCCTTGATGGTCTCAGCTACCTGTAATGTTTATCAAGAGAAACTTACCAGCCCTGCTACAAAAGGGGAAAAAAAAACCACAAATAGGAAATGCATTTAGATTACATCATCATGAATTTCGTCCACGTCATCTTTCTGCTGAGCATCAGAAAACCACGTAAAGAAGCTGTATTCATATGTAAGAAATTTAGCACAACATAGAGCCGATATG